GCCCAACCCACCCATGGCTTCGCAGCCTTGTGGCTGAGACTAGCTTCAGGCCCAGCCCAACCAGCAACCCACCTCAGCCCAGCCTGCCCAGCCCAGGCCCGGCGCATCAGCCCAGCGTGCCAAGGTCAGGTTTGTCTAACATGTCTGAGACTGGCCTCAGGCCAACGACCAGTCTCACGTGTCTGAGACTGGTCTCAAGCTGCATCAGCTACTATGGGCTGACGTGCCCCAGCCCCTCAGTCCGGCTCACAAGCAGCTCAGCCCTCCTGGCCAGGCCCTTGACCTGCTCGCGTCTGGCCCGGCCCGCAGTCTGAGACTGGTAGCCTGAGACTAGCCTCAGGCCCAGTCCCTCAGCCCGCCTGCTGGCGTGTCTTACGTGTCTGCGACTGGCCTCAGGCCCAGCCAGCAACTCGCCACCCGGCCCAGGTGTGTATGAAACAGGCCTTGCCCATCCAGCAACCCGCCCAAGCACCAGCAGCGTAGTCCGGCAGCCAGCAACCCACCCATGGCTTTGCAGCCTAGGCTCAGCCCAGCGTGGCAGGTCAGGTTTGTCTAACGTGTCTGAGACTGGCCTCAGGCCAACGACCAGTCTCACGTGTCTGAGACTGGTCTCAAGCTACGCCAGCTGTCTGACGTGCCCCAGCCCCAGTCCGGCTGCCCAAGCAGCTCAGCCCAGGCTGGCCGCCAGCAACTCGCTACCCAGCCTCAGGCCCAAGTGTGTATGAGACAGGCCTTGCCCATCCAGCGACCCGCCCAAGCACAGCCCAGCCCAGCCGAAGTTCCAGGCGCAACCAACAGCGTAGTCCGGCTGCCCAGCAGCCAGCAACTGAGACTAGCTTCAGGCCCAGCCCAACCAGCAACCCGCCTAATAAGCAAACCTCACCCAAGCCTACCCTGTTTCAGACTCGCAGGCCTCAGCCTATCTAGCGCCGAGACTGGGCCTCACCAGCCTGGGCTCAACTAGCGTCTAGCCCACCCCAGTCCGCCTGCTGGCCAGGCCTGTCTGACGTGTCTGAAACTGGCCTCAGGCCCAGCCCAGCCATAGCCCAGCCCCCTCAGTGCGGCTGCCCAGCCCGCCGTAAACTAGCTTCAGGCCCAGCTCAACCAACAACCCACGCAAGCAAGGACCAGCCAAGCTGCCCGAGACTGTCCGAGCAGGACGGCTTCCGAACATCGAACTAGCACGGGCGAACTGGTGCGGTCACAAGCTTTCAGTAGGATTCGGTCGGACCTTCCCAACACTGGATTTCGGTGTTCCTGACCCTTCCCTCAAACTAGGCTGGGCCGAGGCGGGCAACGCGAAGCGTTTACAATTAAGTAAGGTTGGTGCCTGCACTGGCTCTGCCCCAATTACTGCAATTCAGCACCATTTTCGCACTTTTTTCAGGTATGTCTTTTTGAGGGGAATTCCAAGAATGGTGGGTTTCATTTTGGTTTCCCGCGCAAATCATACCCCAATAGTGGCTCCTCTGCACGTCAAACCTGGAAAGGGGTCTCTAAGGAAACTTCATGGGCACTTATTGTGCAAATGCATTATTTCTCTTTGTGCACACACAAAGGGGACTTACATAGAGAAGAGATGGTTGGTTTGGCGATTGGTCTAGGGGTGCGTTCGTGGTAATCCAGGTTTCATAACTCCCTGGCTGTTTATAGCGGGGGTGTCCCATTTAAGAATGGATCCGGATCACTTTTCGGTGGGATACCCCCCCGTTAAATCCGCAAGGTGTTCTTTAAACGGGCTTGACATCGGGGTTGGTTTCGCGGCCGGCTATTCTATAAGGGCTCGGAGACACCCGGGAAAAGCTGGTCTTATAACTCCTTCAAACTGAACCTCTAGCTTCTCAGCTTCCCTCTGATTTGTGATTTCCAATTCACGCTCTATAACAACCAGGGGTTCAAATCCCAAAACCAGCAATCCAAACCACCCACTTCAAAACACAAGTTTACCTGGCCTTCTTCCAGTGCATCCAGCTTGGAGTTCAAGCCTTTGGCAAAGGACCCGGTGTCCTCGGACTCGCGGCCATGCTCGAATAGAAAACACAAAGAGGTCCTTGCATGTCCCCTTTCAACATCACCCCACAACCGAAAGGATCCCAAGATCGCAAACCAGGTGATGTTTAACGCATTTGTTGAAAGGATCCAGAAACAAAAGGTTGGCCTTTTGGGACGTTGATCAAAAGGGACCAAAATAGGAAAACCAAACAGCCAAAAGGTTGGTTCTGGACAACTGAGTCAACCCCCCCATCCCCAAAATGCAGAGAAACATCAAGTCCCAATGGACCAGTCGAAATTGGACACTGTTGTTGCTTTGGTTAGCGCCCCGGCCTGCTGGCGCTCCGGCCGGCTGTAGGTTTGTTTGGGCTCATAAACATCATGAGGTGCTCACTTTTTGGGGATCTGCTACTGTATGGACAAACAGGCTTGCCCCAGTACTCATTTTCCTTGGGCTTTATCCGTCCCAACTTCCCAACCCATCATATAAATCATCTACCCAAACTGTGCTCCTTTGAGCATTTCCCACCGAAGACCGCAGCGGAACCCTACTTTGAATTGGTCCAAACGATGTTGAATCCACTTACAACCGCCAAAAAAAAGGTTTAGCGAAACTGCAATTTGTGGAAAACCACCACAGTGAAACAGTGAAACCAACAATCGGGATTTGCGTCATCTACGTTCATCTTTACAATCAAGGTTCTAGGCCCCATGGCAACTAACATAACGACACCTTGTTTACCCCGCCCTCCCCCCCACCTTTCTTCACTTTATGGGGGTAGTGGTGTGGCATCGATCTACTTTCTTGTTCTTGGACGGTGTGACTTAGCTAGGTGGTTAGCTTTGCCATGGTTACAACCATCCTACCATGCTTGTAAGACCCCAGCGTGGGTTGCAACTATGATTAGTAATCAGCCCCGGAAATTCGGTAACGTTGACCCCGGTTTCATAAACCAACTAGGGGGGGCTCGAGTCCCAAACAAAAGGGGGCACCCCATTCCTTTGCTTAGGGGATCTGAAGCAGCTTGACCCAGCCAACTTGGCATCTTGCCAAGACACGTGAATGACGAGGCGTCGCCCATGCCCCCATTCTTGGATGCCGTGCAGATTAATCCGCGCTTGCTTTTGAAAACACATACTTTTGACAAAACACCACGCTTGAGCAAGTCACTGCATGTTGCATTTACCCCTCAAGAGAAAGCATGGAGGTTGTATTTCCCCCCTCTGGATATGGACCCCTCAATGCGGATTTTGACTCTAGCGGCTGGGTGGACAGCCCGAAACCCGATTCGCCTTGCTCGGGATGGAGTGGGCGGAGATGTTTTTTTGTAGTGGGGAACAAAATGAAAAACACAGCATTTTGAGATAGCGTCAGGACCGCCCAGCGATCCCCACTACGTGTTCCTTTCGGGGGTTGAGTCTAAACGTAAGCAACTGTGTGGTTCTCGAAGGCGCCTTCTGGTATGGGTTCTTCCCTTGCAAGGTAAGATGGAAAGGGGGACTCCCCCAAAAGCTTCCTCCAGATATCATGGTTGCACGCTGATCTGAGGAGCAAGGTCTGCAAAGTATATGACCACTTGTATCGGGAGGTTTTGCGCAGGACTCATTTTTCTCGGTATGCCCGCAAGACAAAGGCAACTGGGGTGGCGGAGTGCTGGCTGTGCGCTTGATCAGGAAGTACTCCTGAGTCCAGAATACGATGACGACTCGCCTCGGTCTACGTCTATTCAGTTGGTTTTTTGAGCTCGGGACATTATTGATCGCTGAGCTTGAGAGCAGCGATTTGCCGCCGCGCAGCCTTGTCTTGCTCAAGGAAACAGCCAATCCACGCAGTCGAGACAACACGCTACACACGTCAGAAATCACCCTCAAGAAGCTGAGAACTCCTGGCGGGGGGCGTGTTGAACAGCTCTGCCGACGGCCTGGCACCAGCTCTCTGCGCACGGATATCTGAGAGGATCCCCAGCTTCGATCCATACCAAAGAGACCAGGATCAAGCCTGAAACATTCAGCTCGAGTGAGAAGCCGGACAACATCAGCAGATGGAACAACCTACATTACATGCGAGCGTATTTGCACTGACTCCACGTTTGCCTGCCGAGGGAAGCCGGGTGAAGATAAGGTAAGCCGGACAACGCCAGCAGATTGAACAACTGGCGTCAGCAGCTTGGTCTTGAGGGAAGCCGAGTGAAGCCGGGCCGCGCTAGCAGATTGAGCAACTGACATCAGCAGCTTGAGCATACTGTTTGGAACGCATGTATAGCAACATCCTTCAAGCTCAACACCACCAGCCCCGCTCAGCCAGTAACCAGTCCTGCGTATGCAGCCACGGGCTTGCCAAAGATCAACGCGAGCAAGGCCTAAGTTGACTGCGTGTCCAGGAGCTTCGCTCCAGCTTCGCTTCGCCCAGGCGGTGGTTTCTCCACGGTGCCTCAGGCGTTGGTTCTCCCCCGCCGGGGGGGCCCGCCTTCCGCGCCACGCGCCTCAGAAGCTGCATCGCGGTAGTTTGCCTGCTGTATGTTTTTTCATGCTGGGGCCACCCGAAGCATGGTATGCATCATCATCGAGATCCACATGCCGAGCCACTCGGTCTACATGCGTGACCTGATGGTTGGCAAGATGGCTGGCAATATCACGATAAGCTGCGCTGAGAAGAGCATGGAAAATCCTCAACTGAGAAGAGCGTACAAAGCGCAAAAAGAGTGCGATATTTAAAGCTTTCGGTGCAACAAAGCATCTGAAAGCTCTGTCTGTGTGAAGCTTGTTGCTGCCCGAGAAAAAAGTGCATCAACACATGTGCCAGGGTAATTAATGCACGACTAAACTGATTGCTCGCAGTCAACTTGCCTCTATGCTTCCGGGCCACTCGTCGTCTAGTTCTTTCTTCCTTTGTTTTTGCGGGGGGAGGGGCCGTCTTGCGCAATTCAAGCCGGCTTGGGCGACTATTTTACCGCTTGATTTGTGGGCACAAAGCTCGGGGGGGTCGAAGCCACCCGTGGCCCAAGATTTCAAAGTGCAGGCCGGACACTCTCAGATACAACCACCAGATTCCGATCCATGGCCAACATGTTCACCACGGCGCTCTCAATCTCCTGGCCAAAGGAAACAAATCTAGACTCATGGCCTGAGCGGATTGCTGCTTACCATTGAAACTGTTTAAAATGGGTGTCTTGTTTAATTTAAGGGGACCCAACAAAATGTGGTTGTCTGTTTTCCCTTAAAACCAAAAAAAAATACCCTCAACAAAAACAAACATCCACATGTCTTCCCCCAAAGTTTGAAGTCCGGAGTGAGGAAATCTCAAAATGCAGCGCCGCTTCTTCGCCATTTTGTCTTGTTGGTAAATTTTGGAAATTGACCATTCTAGGTGTAGCTTCTCTGTTCCGAACTGTTTTACAAAAACGGGCAAGGGTTGTTCTCTGCTCTGAATCAGAGATAGTTTTCTTCCAAGAAGCGACAACACAAAACAGACAAATCGACAGATGATTGAAAGGAACGAGAGTTGACCAGAATGAGGAAACGTTCACTGATGTCCATATTTTGTTTGCGGTTGATGACGTATTTGAAGACTTTCCAGGCATATGACAACCTTTGAAATATCCCTCGGTGTTCCTTTGACTAGGGGTGAAGAACAAGGTCTTGATTTCCCTTTCTTCCCCAAGCCCCAACCAGAACGGGTCTCCTGAATTCTAGCGACACATAACTTACTCTCTGAGCTGCTGGACTTTAACGCCTTTTGGGTTGGACCAATTTAATGGCAAAAGCGAAGTGTGTCGACTTTCTCTGAGTAAACCAACCAACCGTAGCGCGGATTTGTGGCAAAGGCACGTCAGGGGCCTTCCTGGGTGATGTCGATGGCACATTGGTGAGAGACTCAACTAGTTACAAATTGGCGACGACAGACTCAATTGATGTTTTGAGTGATTCGCTCTTGCTATTGACCATCTCACATCTTGTGTTGGAAAAGCAAGTCCAAACTGCTGGTTTGCCACCAATTTCGTCTTCCCAAACAGGTATGGCTCAGTTGCCCTTGTCGGACCCCGAAATGAACGGTTAACCCTTTGGGCCACTAAAAATTGACCAAGGGGAAACCAAAGGTTAGGGAATCCCCGCCGAAAATAGGAAAAAGAAGCAACCCACTTGATAAGATAGACAGAAGATGGCTGGGAACCGAACAAGTCAAGCTAAAGCCAAGCGTCGGAGAACGGCTGACTCAGCGGCAAGCGCCCGCCGCTGCTGATGGATTCCAGCTTGCCAGCGATCTCCTAGGCCACGTGTGGCGCGAGTTTCCTCATGCCGCTCAGTTTCCCAAAAAGGACCCTACTCCTTAATGCTGACCCATGATTTATAGATGCTTTGAGTTCATCAAGAAAGTGCAGGCTTACAAAATGGAACCGGATTTATGAATCCTGGGTCAAAGTAACAGAAAACCGGAAAACTTGTCGGATCCCCTATAAAATTCCCTTAAATGTCATCCAACTCCAATACCCTGATTGAACCGTGTGCAACATGGAAACAAACAGGACAGCAACAAGCAACTCGGTCCCCAGTTGCCGTCGGACACCCCAATGTACCAATTGAACGATTGAGCAGCACGCGCTTCGACATGCATATTCATACACGCTTGCGACGCGAGTTGAAGAGACGGCCTTTTCGACCCAGAACCCACTGGGTCAAGCCACCACTAAAAGAAAGGTGAACACACTAACAAAAGCCAAGAGATAGATACTTTCGAAATTATTGATTGACAAAAGTCGTTTTTTACCACTAAACTGGTCCTGCCTAAAACATTTAGTGTCAGGAACGAGAGGGGAGTGAGAAAATATGAACGAAAGTGGACCTGGATCCACTGGTTGCCCTGCAAACAAAAAGCAACACCCAAACAAGAGGGTAATTACCTAGCAAGTTCACAACCCGAAGTTCACCCACCTACAAGAGGGCACCTCAACGGGGAAAGCAGCGCTTGTCCCCAAAGAAAGGCTTGGGCAACCACCCCAAAAAAAAGGTCCCCCCAACCAAATTTCGCGAGGCACCTCCGTGAAGGACTTGAGCTTGTAGACCTTGATGCCTGAGCTCTGCCCGTTTCAACCTTGCTTCAGCTTCCCTCTTGGTGGTTGAAATCAAAGGACGAGGAACGAAGGGGCTCCAGATTCATTCGGAGTCTCTTAACAAATCTGTTTTGGGGGGCGTGTCCAAACCTTGTCAACCTTGAATGGGGGGGGCTTTACTCATGAGGGGTAACAAGGGGGAAGGGCCCAACTGAAATGGCCATGGAGTTGTGCTGGTACACCCCTTCGTGCGGCCGACAAACATTTGCCCAGATTTGCTTGGGGTAGGGTTCTTGGTTCTGCGGTCGCCTACTCCGCGAAGCCTTGCCGGGTGTCCAGAAAAAGAAGATTGCCCATCTAGAAACTGACTGCGTGCAACGCAAAACCCACAGGAAGTGGGCCCGATGGTAGGGAGATAGAAGGAACACACAAATGAAACGACAAGAACAAACGGCTAAGCTCAGTCTGGCCATATTTTGAAGCCAAGGTGTAACTACAGAACCCCGTGAGATCCAGAAGTCTCTTGAAGCGATCTGCTTCCAGCCACTCAGGTTCCATGTGGGTCACAAGCACTTGGAAGTAAGACTTGGCTCAACCGTGACACTGGTCGAAAACAAATGGACCCGTTTTTGAGGCTCACCATTTGCAGGGACAACGGGAGAAGCCGAGTAAACAACTGGGATATGGACAAAGATGGAACAAGTTAAACTAAGTTTGGATGGAACACCAAGTTCGGGAAAGGACAACAATCACCAAGGTGGATTCGATCGGGCAAGTAAGTCACCATCTCCTCTGCCATCTCTTGCATGTTTTTTCTCGAAAAAACATGGGGGTGTACCTCCTGTTTTTCTTGGCCATGGCATCTCCTGGCTCGCCCCTACAGCAGCAACTGGGAGGGACGTACCCCAAATTCCTGGGCCCCTGTCTGAATGGTGCCTGCATACAACCTAAATAGACATACTTGTTCAAATGCATGCATTGCTGTTTGTCCATGTATATATATATATATATACATTTGTGCATGCCCGAAATAGCCATACTTAAAACAAACGACGAAGGCATTGGAGCTAATCTTGACTTCGGAGCAATCTGGGAGACCACGGTATTTGATTTGCATGGCCAGCGGGTTTGTCTCAAAATAGGGGACCCCCAAAATGGGTGGGGGGGGGTTCCCTTTGGTTTCGCTTTAAGACAACTGCAAACAAGGGGTCCACAAAAAGCACCCCATACTCTGTACGTATACACGTCTATGACATCCTTGCTTTTGCAGCCCACTCAAAATACAGAGATCCCAAAACCAAACAACCAAGGAACACGCCAAGAACAGTGAAGCTATGGCCTACAAACTCTGAAGGCAGGTTCCCTTTGGTTTCTCTTTAAAACAATCCCACCGGATTTCGTGGCACCAAGCTGCACCCCGGTGGCGGCAACGCATCTGAACCATCCATGCCCTCCACCCGCTCCAGGCTCGTCGCGTTGCCTCAGCGGAACAAAGGAATGGACGAATCCTGTGGAGGTGTCTTCCTTTTAGTGGAACCCCTTAAATTTGTAGCTTTCCTTTTCTGTTCCTCCTGAAACCAACCAAAATCGGTTTCCTTTTTGACAGACACGCCCATATTTAGAACTTGTACATGTTGTTCTTCGGATATGACGCACACCAAGGCGCGAGGCGGGGCGCGGCCATGGCCCTGCGGCGCCAGGGTGTAGAGCCCCATGGCCTGCGCAAAAGTCCCCACTCCAAATGGTGGGTTTCACCCTCCAAATGGTGGGGTTGACGCTCCAAATGATGGGGTGAACCATGGTGAACCCTCCAAATGGTGGGTTTGATCATTTAACACGGTTGGTTGTGTTGGTTGTGTTGGTTTCAGTTGAGAGTCCAAAACAGGAGAGAACCCATGAGGAGAGACATCGGGGATCCTTAAAGGGATGCATCCCAAAAGCAGCCAAGTTACAAGGATTTGGATCCGTTTCCTACGTCAGCTGGACAGGCGGCACGTTTTTGAGTGGGTTGGCCAAAGTGACAAAACTTCATGTTTGCCACTGACACGACTTTCCCAACAAGTTTCGAATTCCAGCAACTCAGGGACTCCAGAGTTTGAAGCTGCTTTAACAAAAGTCCCAAGAAAACCACTCTGACATTTTAGAGTTCCCCTTAGGTCTGGAAAGATTATTGTCTGCACAGTTGGACTTTATAAGATCTGCAGAAATGCACTATATAGTTCAGTGACCCATGGAAGGAAACGGACACCTTGTTTTGGCTTGACCGATTTTTACCGGGGCAGCATCCAACAAACAACGGCGAAACTGCTGCCACTGAACACTGGGAATAATCAGCTAGTTTGGAGCTATAGCAGCTGGCTCTGGTGCTAACTCCCTTGCGAGTCGGCAATGAATGAGCAGTCATATGGCATTCCCTTGACGGAAGCTGAGCTGTTGTATCCTGGGTGAGCTCGCAAGAACTTGCCCAAGCCACAATGCTGTGATTGGTTTTGCCAACACATCAACTTGGATAGGCTCAGTTGTTCTTTTGACCAACGTAGCAGAATAATTGCGCTGTGTTGAACAAATATGTCAGGCTAATGGAGCCAGACCCTACGAGTGCATTTGATGTGCACTGCAAAGGCTCGTGCAAGTCTGAAGAGACCTCCCTGAAGTAGTAACCTGCCTGAATGCTGCGGTGGTAACTGCAAACACTGGGCTAGCCGTTCAACCAAACTGCTGGTCCTATCTAAATTGATATCAAGGTTTAAAGAAGGCCCACTATCATCGAACAAAACTCGGGTAGCAGGGCTTCTATCACTAGACGGTTGGTGGTGGTGTGTGTGTGCACAGACTAGTTGCATCTTGCCTGGCTACTACTGCTCTAACTCCCCGGGTGGATTGGTCAGATGTTTACGATCGGGCCAGGGGAATCAGGCACGCCTTCGACCGAGGGAAGATGTCACAGGACATTGGAAGGCCCCTTCCAATCTTCCAACCTTTGTGTTGAGCGCGGAGCGACCGCTAACACACCTTGCAAGCATGCCTGGATGCAAAGTGGCGAGTAATCATGGTTGTAAGTCCCCTAATTAAGTGGGTTATAAGTAACCAGGGCCAGCAACCACTCAGCAATCCCTCCCAGACCATCCAAGTGCAGAACGAAGCCTCTGTGAAATCCATAAAGATCTGGCGGCGCTGGAAGGGGGACATCAAGCTTTCCTCGGACAGCGGAAACAAGGCGAAGGTCGGAACGTCGAATTGCTTGTCTTTAGACGGCCAGCGGAACGCCTTTACCGTATGTTTGGGGTTCACCCTTTTATAAGGGAAGGCTGCCAAACAAAATGGGATCTAGAGTGGAATCCGCTTTGTCCTGTTGCTGCAAAGGGCCCACATGTCGGGGGGCCCGCAATCCCAAAACGGTATTCCTGGGACTTGGAGAATTCTCTGCTCAGCTGCCGGGTTGCACCAAGAAATAAAAGCCCTCCGGAGCCACTAATCATGGAGCAAAAAGGGGAAGCTGAAAGGTCCACAGGTTTGCTTTGGGCAAGTCACTTTTGGTCCAGCTTGTCTCCAAACGGGGGCTTCCCAACAGGTGTGGGTTTCTTTTAAAGCAGCCCAAAGAGGTTTGTCCAACTCTAAGAAGCACAAAGGCCCATACTCAGCCTCCTCTACACTTCTCCCTTAAACAGTAAACACGACCCACAAAAACGACACTCAGCAACAAAAAGGTGATGTTTAACTCGAACCTTTGAGGCTTCGAGAAAAAATATGGGGAACCGCACATGCTAGCCCGATTCCTATCCCAAAATCGAAATGGGTGGTAGCCCTTTGGCCTCCCTTTCAACAGCAGAACACTTGACCAGGAAGACACCACAACCAGGAAGCCACCAGCGGTTCCGCCCGTCACGCCCAGATTCTGCACCCCCTCTGAAGATGGCGTCATGGTACTCCTTGAAGGTGCCATCTTCAATGGAGGCCAGCTCGGCTTCAGCCCACTTTCTGGTCAGGGAAAACCAGGAACGTGGGCGTTTGTCCCAAAGGCGTCCCCGAAAATGGCAACGGTTTCCTTTTGGTTTCCCTTTAGTTCTGAATTAACAGGCAGTCCATCATTTTGAGAAACACTCACATGGGTCTGTCGCAAAATTGGCTTCCCTCTTGCTTGGCCAAACGGATCCGGCCCTTTGGTTTAAATTGACAACAAAGGAAACACAAAAGGGCAACACGGCAAGAAGGTCAAGTCTGGCAATGCAAACAAACGATTTTAAGGAGAGCAACAAAAAACGGCAAAGGACACCAACCATCTTGAGGCGTCCAGATTCCGGCCAATGGCGGTGATGGATGGAAACAGGGGGCGCATCCTTTCGCTCCTTCCGCGATGGTTTTGCGGGGCGTCGTGTTTCGCAAATGGCGTGATCCCCTAATTTGGGTGCGCTTTGTAAATAAAAGGGCCATGCGGACGACAAAATCCGTTGGGGATTCATGCCTCCACCAATCACTTTTGAGGCGGTACCCAATTGAATTCAGAGCCCTTATATAGGCGTGTCATTATATACTGTAATTGCTTGAGGAACTCTTCTTTTGGTGGTTTTAAAGGAAGGCCAACAGGAAAGCCACAATCTTATACAATTCTGCGGGTTCCCTAAAAACAGACGAGACAATTGCGCCGAGAATGGCAGCCGAAGGCCCAGTTTCAATCCCCGTGCCTGAAGCCGTCCTGGCAAGCAGCCGATTTCGAAATGTGATGCTGCCATGCAATTAAGCCAAAAAGCGATCCATCCCGGTCTTTTTTCATGTCATGTGAAACGGTAGGGGATTAAGAGAGGCGATCCAAGTGAAACGCACCCATGCAAAGCTTGAAAGGGACCAGGATCGAGATGTTTTTTTTTTTTTTTTGCGAGGATGCCCACTACTCTGAAACCACTCAGGGGAAATGGGCCATATCACATTCATGTAGTGAATGTTAAGTCACCGCCTGCCCCACAATACGACCACCATGGATGAAGGGCATCCAGTGCTCCTTGGGGTTAGGGGTTTTGGCGGAGTGGAAACCCTCTGCCATTCCTTGCATTGTTTTGGAATATGCTTTTTGCAAACCACAGCTGCAAGTATAAGCCCGCAGGGCCACCACAAGCGACTGCACCACCAAGGGATAAGCCCAGAAGTCCGGATTGTGTTGGCATGCTTAATTTTTCTAATGTGCTAGTGTGCCCCAGCGCCCCTGGAGACGAGCGTCATCCACAGAGTTTATTCCGGGCTCATGTTGTTTGCATCCAGGGTGTTCAAAGTCGTCAAACTGCCATATCGTGCCCTTGAAACATAGCTTGAGGAGTGGAAGAAGCCCTCTCTCACTAATTGAAAAGAATGGAACATTTGGGTTGCATTGCCCCATCCGACCGACTGTGGGGCACATAGCCAGGGCTGGGAAACCGCATGCGAGTGACTCAACCTTTGCCCAAGCCCAACCTCTCCTCCTGAGTGGAATGGCCAAAACAGAAACCAAACTTTTGTTTGCCGCTAAAACAATTTTGCCAAACGGTTTAAAGTTGAACTCCAGATGTGGGAACATGCACCTAACCAACAAGTCCGGTGAAATTCCACTGTTTTCGCCAAATCCAGGCGATTTTGTGGAAGCTCGGGGCTCCCGAATCGCCTGAGTTGGCCCGGGGGGACACCAAAGCCGATTCTCAAGTTGGGCCACTCGTCCCTTCAAAACCTAGTGGCTAGCAGCCAGGGGCTTGCTAGTGGGAACCCAGGACTAACAAGCCACTGGGCCCGTTGGCCCTGGTTGACCAATCATTAGTACACACGAATGCTTGCAAGATCTTGCAAGTCAGCATGATTGTTGCATGGTGTGGATGGATATGCAATGAGTGCGGTACATATGCTCGGATTCGGCGTCTTGCTAAGTCCAACATAAGAAAATGCAACATCGTTTAGATAGGACACCAGTATAACGGTGAGACGGGCAAGCGGGCACTTGATTGTCTCAAATAAGATCGAATCCCGAAGTGGTAGTTATTCCCAAACGTGCCATCCAGGCACTTTTCGACATCCCTGCAACCGATGCAAAAATAGATGTGGAGAGTTGACTTTTGAGGGCCAAAGAGCAAAAAGGTGAGTTGAGCCTGGCAACGCAAAGTAGTCCCAAGAATCGCCCCCGGACGCCTCTTCCTCGGCGAGTCTTTGGGCTCGCGCCTGCGTGGGGGAACATGGGCACCATATTGACACCCCAAACGAAAGAATCCAGCTCGAGGCTTGCCCGACGAGAGGCCTGGTTGGGTCAAAAAGCCCTCTGGGCATCCTGCTGACGTGCTGAGTAACCACCCCTGTTCAAGGCCTCCCCGTAACTTTGCTTTGAAAGAAACACGCTTTTTTGGGCAGCGCATTCCAGAATGCGCCTGAGTAGCTGCAAACACCCTTGCGAAAAGTTGGTTTGAGTTAGTAGGGCATCGTGACTTGTTCGCTCACAGCATCGCTGCAACGTCGGCGCACGTCGCTTTGCTCCAAGGCGGTTCTGAAGACTGAACCTGCGCTTTCCCTCGAACATGCTTTGCAGTTTCTTTGTGAAGCTAACATTTAACGCCACACTCTTTGGCGAAGGCTTCAGTCTCAAGCAAGAGGTTGGTAGTTTTGAAGGCCTTCCCAAGGTTTTTTGAGACCAACCACGGGTTGTCCACGCTTTGTCCAATTTCCAAGGGAAGCATGGGTGCCGTTTCTTTATGGTTGACTTGAAAGGAGCCCCCCCCACCTCTCCCGAGAATTAGGAACATAGGAATTCCACCACGGGAGGCCTGGGTTTCCTTTCCACATGTCGCCAGCGGCCTCGCTTGAGGTAAATTGCCATCCAGGACCCCACTCAGGCTCCAGGATAGATGGGAGTAAGTCCAACAAAACCAATACTCACTTCCTGAGTGGATTGGCCCAAACAAGTCCAAACTTTTTGGTTGCCACTAAATTGGTCTTCCCAATGTGTTTAAAGTCCAGGAAACTCAGGGAGTCAGTCCGAGGGAAGATAGGCCCATGGCAACGCCAAGCTTCGTCAACTAACCCGCTCTGGTTTGGTTTGGAGATTACGGTCGGTCCTCTTGACCCACAACAAGTCAAGCGCTTTGATTCCCCAGCTCCCGCAGATTGCCGTTGAGTGGGGAACCCACCCCAAGAGGGGTGTAACCCGGAACTCTCGATGGGAAGCCTTTCTGAAACGCCTGCCTCCTCCTCCATCTCATCCTCGCTCAGGTCCACATCATCCCTGGCAAAGGCCGCCCTATTAATCGGGGGATGTTCCTTCCAAAAGTGATCCGGAACTCCACTAAAAAAGGAACAACGCCCGATCAAAATCAACCAGGGGTTTATCAATCCTGGGTTCCCGTTGTTCGAATCGAATCAGTGCAGCTTCCGCTACCTGCGAGACCGCCTACGAAACTCATCTCCCAGTTTCCATGGGAGAAACTGCGAAAGTAGCACCAGTTTCGGGTCGTTTGGAAAAAGGGAGGAGCCCCCCTCCAACACTCACTTCCTGAGTGGGTTGGCCGGAACAAAAGGTCGAACAACTTGTTCGAACTTGTTGCTTACCATTGAATGGTAAAAGCCCGAAAAGTCACTGAAGTCCGACGGAACTCAGGAAGCAAGAGGAATTGTGCCACCCAAGGCTCGGGGAATCGGATTTCTTTACCCTGGCCTGAGGCTTCTTGACATTTACATGGCGATCACCTTTTGGCGCCGCTAACACTGGAACAAATCAGGGAAATCTTTGTCTGACAGCGTCGGATGCAACGAAAGGACTTAGAAAGGTTCACCTTTTTGAGCCACTGGGCCAAGGGGAAACATCGACTCGCTTGCGAGTGAGTCCCTACGAGCGTTGATGAACCCAAGTAAAGGTTTCGTTTGACCATGGAGGCGCGCGTTGATGGGGGGGCGATCGGGTTCAGGAGTAAAAGCCATGGTTGCGACCAGATTTGCAAAAGCACCCTTTGTGTGATACCAACATGGGCCATCCTGACTCGAGAACTCTCGTCACAAAAGGTGGCAACCTAAAATCCGATGTTCCACAGCCACAGGACAAAGCGTATGCAATCAGCAATGTTATGTTTACAATAATTACCACACCTGAAATATGCATCCCCAAGTAAAGGACCTAAATCATGGTGAGCTCGGTTTGCAGTAAAAGCCCATCTCCCTTCAAGACAGTTCTACAAAGGAAAGCAGCAACATGTGGGCATCTCACACCGAACCCCCTACAGCATCCATGCCCACGGGAGGGAGGGAGTTCCGGTATCATCATGGGTGTTTTCTAAATGGCGGACTCACTTTTAGTTTGACGATTGCCTCCGCAAACACGTGGCCGGCTGGTTTGCTTCTTTATCTTCATGTTCAAATTACATTGAATAGGTCATTCTCGGTTGCCCCAAGGACCCAAAAGAAAACAGTTGCCCTTTTGGAGCCATGACCAAAACATGAAGCAAGAAAGAACAACTGAATGGTCAAACTGAAAAGTCAAAAGGTCGGCTATGGCAAGTGAGGGATACGAGATGAGGATTACAAGCTTCATGCACAGACAAAACAGGGTTTGCCCAAGTTTCCCCCCTCACCTAGAGGCCTCTAGAGAACTCCTTGTAAAATATCCTGGTGATGTCTGGGGGCAAAGCATGTTTTTTGGAGGGGGGGCAGCCCTGCAACAGGGAATGAACAGTGGTTTTGGGAAATCGGAAGGGGGTCCCGTTAAGATCCCCAACTCAAAGGACATGGTTGGCTATGAAGCTTGATGGGAATTTGCCTTGAAGGTAGGTGGTTACCTGAATCCCCACCGAATTTTGATGTCCACCAAAACTTTGGCCCGGGACCCGGTTCTGGTCAACTCATTCTCAGTTGCCCTGGTCGGACCCGGACATTTGCAGAGCGATCACCTTTTGGGTCAACACTAAATCACCACCAGCAGCTTCCAAAGGGCGGTCCATTTCTACCTGAGTTCCCTTGTATGGGCTGTTTTGGGCACCAATGGACAGGCCTTGGAAGGTCCTGGCAAGGGCAAAAAGGTCAGATCCAGTCGATTCGTTTTTCTCCAAAGTGAGCATTCGCTCCGGGCTTTGGTGAGCATTCGTTCTTTGCCCGAACGCAAAGGAGGTCTCCCCTGGAAGAGTTGCCTCTTCTTCAGCCGCACGCGCTGCCCTTTGTCACCTGGCTTGGAACTGGGGCCATCTGGGGCCTCGCAAGCGGAGACAAGTTGGGCCTGGATGGGCGGAAAAAAAGGGGGTGCTACACACATCCTTTGGAACCCGTTTTGTTTATGAGGACCTGTTGAACAGGTCGCCTGAGACATGTTCGATAATAAGTTAGGACATGCTCAATTTCAAAGAGGCTTAAGCTTTTAAAGGGCAAAGCAAAGGGCAACCAAGGCAAACCTGCACACAGAACCAATGGCTGTTTCTAGCGCTTCCCGTTGCCTACACGTGAGCCATGGCGACTTTCTCCTACGGTGGGTCGTGGTCTGCCAAGTCACCCTGTAAGTGGTAGGTTGCAGAGAAACGTCCCCCGTGGCTCCAGTTTCTGCCTTTGATCGCCCAGAGAAACAGTGAAATAATGACCCAACAAATACCCTTGATGGGATCACACATGCCTAACAAGGTCCGCTGTGCAAGTCCTCCCCGGACAAAGGAGAATAGAAGTAAATGGAGATCTCCAGTGGCCATCGCCTCCCTCAACGGGGGAGGGGATCTCAGTATGGCTCGCTCTCTTTGATTGGCCAGCTGGATGGCTGCACTGATGAAGGTGCTTGAGGAGGCGGCCGGCGACCGAGGGAAACAGAGAAAACAAGCAGAATTGCACTCAACACCCTGGCACAAGGGTAAAACATTGCTTCTATAGGCGTCCTTCGGAGAAAGCAAATGGCGGGCGTTGCTGAGTATTGGCCAGTCCATTTTCCATAATGCCTTTTGGAAAGCCAAAAGCAAAGGCTCAATCCTTTCGAACCCAAGGTGAAAACAAACGAGGGTGAATGTCCCTCAATACGTCCGCCAAGTGGGCTTCTGAGCCCAAATCGTCCTCGTATGTCCTCGTCGCCTTTGGAACCCCTCGGTTTGACTCGCGCCTCGCCAAAGGCTTCCTCGGCGCTTGTACTGCTTCTTCTTCGCGTTGGCTCTTTGGCGCAGGGTCTTACCTTCCTGGCACCCAGATCCCAGGCGATCCCAGCATTGGTCACCCTTCCCCATTACCATTTAAGGGTGTCTCTTTTTATTGGGAGAAAGCCCCCGAAAAAGAAGAACAACGAGGTTTCCTTAAAGCAACCAAAAAAGGGGTACCCACAAAGAACACACCCATGGTTACCTACTACACAGTTCCCGCAAAGCCCAAGTTTTCAACAACCATGTGCAGCAATCAAGCATGGAATGGTCCAATGAGCAAATTCCAAGCCTGGTATTGGATTGGTCTGCGCACAAAAACTTAAAGGGCTTCTTACCGCATTTCCCCTTTGCAACCTTCATCTTATACACACCCTTCAGCTGAAACTTTTCTTGATGAGCAAGTAGTTCTTACAAGGGCTTGTCACCCCCCAGCGAGCCTTTCTGAGGCCGTGTGGTCCACTAGTGTCAACCCTATGTTTGGTGGTTTCGAGGGAAACCACCAGGACTCAAAAGCAGTTTTACGCGTGAACACCTCACAATGCCACAGGGCCGTTTTCGGGGCCCAAACGTAGCAAGGCTGTTGGTCCTTCTCCGGATGCTTTCAGAAACTTCTGACCACTGAGAGCGCTGCCGGAAAAGAAGAGGAGATGGGTGTGCTTAGGCTTTTAACAGGCCCAATTTGCTCGGTTTTGGTGAGAAACCAAAAGGAACCGCCTTTGGCCATTGTTGGGGGTTCCCTAATTTTAAGACAACCTAAAATAAACATGTTCACATAAAATCAAATGACTACGTGTTTAGAAGACGTCTTGCAGAAACCAACACCGTCCAAGGTCCCTGTTTCTCTTGGGATGCTATCGGCATGTCTTAAAATCGAACAAACCCGTTGGCCCCCCTCTGATACCAACCAGAACAAGGTACTGCGCCTTGAAAGCAAGCTCGATTTGTTCATATCGTGAGCTTGCATCAAAGAGGGTCCCAATTCTTACTCTCAAACCAAATGACTATTCCAAAGTTGGAATATCCCAGCAGCCCCGCCCTGGAACAGGCGAGCTCGGCGGCGAACCCATTTTCCCAGACTGAAGGGGCCAAAGGGCAGCCTCAAGGGAACCCCCTATAAAAAGAAACAAGTTCACGGAATTTCTGCTGGGGGAGCTTTATACAAAGGGGTGGGAAGTTGAGAGTCCTAGGGTTCCTGCATGGCTTCCATAGGGTCACCGCTAAAAAATGCATGCTTTAGGTGTCTGATTTTTACCCTTCATAACCAACTCGACTCGACTGGGCCTCCATCAACTTCAAGAGCTCCGGGGGAGGCTTGAAGCCGCTGAAAAACGCGGTCCACTTCTTGCCTTAGACCCCAAGTGTGCAACAATCCTTGGCGTCTCAAGCACCACCAAAAAACAATGGGGTGCCTAAAAAAGGGCACACCCCTGTGAGTGGCCAAGGGGGTCATCTTCAAAGCAATAGTCATGGAAATTGCCCTCTAAATTGTGCCACACCAGGCATATTTTCCACAACAAGCTCAGAGCCCCCGACCGCCCGTTTGGCCGACCCTTCGTTGGATAGGGTTGCTCCTAGGGGGGTCAAATAAATCTGCCACCAAACGCCTTGAAGTCCTAAACGGGGGGGGCAACTCGAGTGCATTGGCCCAAACAATTCCAAACTGCTTGTTTTCCGCTGAAATGGTCCAACCTTAAAGGCGACTAAATATCGATACGGAACTAGGGGAGGGAGTCAACGGCGGAGTTCACCAAGCACCAATTTGCTTAGGTCCCGTGGAACAAATGACAAAGTCCACCATGTTTTCAGTGCTGCTAGATTCCCCTCAAAGCAGGGGAAACGTGCAAACAAATACTTCAGCAAATGAAAGCACCTATTAGCTATGTTTTTTCATGTGTCTCCTACGTTCCGAGCGCGGAACTCCCGGCTGAGTGAACTCCCGGAGCTCAGTTTGATTCCGAAGAAGCGACCCACCCACCTTCCTTTGGACCGGGCTTTTGGTGAGCCAAAAGCGGTGCTTCAGGGTTTCTACGCAGAAGGGCCAAACCTATATGTTCAAGAGCCCAAAGCCTAGTTCAGCTTTTGGGTGACTCAGGTTTGAAGCTTGAAGTCCGGAAGCTCGGCAAGTCAGATGGTGTGTTCTTTAAAGGAAATTTGGGGCCCCCTGGTTGGTGCCAAAGAGAAGGCAACGGAAGTCGACCATGTGGGGGGTGCCTCATTTGGGTGTGTCTTTCTTTTTGTGGGAACCCACCAAAATGATGGTTTTCCTCTTGGATTCTCTTTAGGTCAACTCCAAACAAGGTACCCTGAAAAACGACACACCCATAAACCCGCGCTCCATCTTTTCACATGCCAAGCGTCGCGTGATCATGCCAGATGGCGCGACATCTGGGAACACGGTGTCCATACCTATGCCCGCCAAAGGGCGACCGAATGTTAGACTCGCTTCCTGAATAGGTTGGCCAGAAACGTCGAAACTGTTTTGTTTTCCCTCAAAATACCCCAAATCCAACAAGTGACTAAAGTCCATCAACTCAGGGAGTGAGTAGAAAAAGGGTTGACCTTCCTCACCTCTCCTCCTCGAAACCACCACATGAACATGTAAAATGCGAACACCCTTCAAAACATGTTCTATGGTGTTAGGCTTCCCCCACTAGACATGGGCATAGCAGTGCGTCCTCCTGGCTTTCGCAGCTTGATCTCTCAAACTTGAGTTTGCCAACCAACAGGCCCCCTCAAAAACAAAATAGACAAATATGGGCAATATGGGTGTGCTCTTCTTTTCCACGGTTCTTGTTTGCAGGGGTAGCTTATGTGCTAAAGGGAAACCACAGGCCTCAGCCTTGCCCCCCCAGCAAGATCATCCTCATTGAGTATCTGAAAAAAAGCAAAGGTGATCCCTGTTATATAGCATACGCGCCCTTCCCATATGTGTAGCATACCTATATGCACTTGTTTGATGTATACATATATATATATGTGTGTGTGTACTCTACACGCAAATAGACACAACATGTACAGTGTCTGTATATTTTTGTTGGTATGTCTGAACAGGGCCCCCCGCGTCCAAAAAAGAAGGGTGGTTTCCTTTTGTTTTCGACCTGAAAAGCGTACCCTCCAGCAAAACGCACACACACACACACCTTTTCACCATAAGAGTGTTCCCATATACGGAACCGTGAAAAAAGGGAACCCTACCTAACATCTTCCTCGAGGCGCGGTAGAAGATCTGGCCGGGCTTGAGGCCCGTCAAATGCTCGGTGTCCACGTGCAGGAGCAAGATCCCCGTGTCCCAGGTCACGTTCCTGGCCCACTGGCACTTCTCACTTGCTCAAAGAGCCTGCATATGAAAGGTTAACCTTTGGGAACATGGACTAAACATGCCTATGTTCCTAGACAGGAACCTCACAACCAACACACTCTCAGGTCCCCCTTTCCCCCCCCCCCAAAAAAAGAAGAAGAAGAAAACAAATGGCGAGTGTCCAGAACGTGTGACTGTTGCATCAATTAAACAAGAACAAACAACTTTTAGGCATCAAATGAGTGGTGGTTCTTAGGTTTCCCTTCAAATTGAATGACATATGGGCCCCTTCTGCAAACCTTCCGCAAAGCTTCTGCGGTGTGAAGGGTACCTTCCGCCCGTCGGCAAATTGTTTCTGGAAATTGAGAAAGGGAGCTTCAGCGAGGGAATTCGTTGCATGATTTGCTAGTCATTCTGGAAAGAGCAGATGTACTTGTGGAAGGAGCAAAGCAACCACGTCCTTTCCGCGAGTTTCCACGGGAAAAACCCTTTTGGCAAACCTTCCGCGGCTACAGTGTGGTGCTACCTTTGTGTTTTTAATATGTCCCCCTCTGGACATTTTGGCTTGAGTGGGGAAAAAGCACAACATTCAAATGGGAAATGGATGTCAAAAAAGCAAGCCTCTGTCACCTTGTAACAAGGGAAATGATGCAAACATGCTGTTGAAAAGTATAGCGGAAGAACCAACCCCGGCAAACTGAGAAGGCCTTGTAAGATCCCGAAGATAAGAGCAATGCATTGATGGGTCCCAACAAATATTGCCTTGTGCACACCACTCCTGGAAGCAAGTTTTCCTTGAAGGGTAGGCTGTGCACGAAAAGCCGTCAGATTGTTCAAAAAGAGTCGGAAGCTAAGATCTGGCGAAGAGGCGTGATCTTGCGCGTGCAGTTGAAGTCGAACCACTTGAAAGCCCGCCTCAGAGAGGTGCCGAGGTTTGCCCGTTTCAGGGCCCGGTCGATCCTCAAAGATGGCGAAATTGGCAGGACTTGAGTTAGAGCCCTCCTTGGTCCTTGATGTTATTTGGTGTTGGTCTTGGTCACCAAAACTCAAACATGGAAGCTCGAAGGTTGAAGCAATAGGTCCCTCGAACCAATCAAGAAACCATGTCGTGCGGCTTTCCAGCATTGTCCTAAAGTTGGATTGGGTCGTCACAGCCCATTGCCCATAGTTTCAGCAAAAACAACATATTTCGTGTGCATCCAGTCCCAAAGTTTGTTGCGGACAGAGTCCGCATCTCCCCATTCAACCAGCGAGGGCAAACAACGAGCTCGGGCTTTCTGGCCCCAACGAGGAGGACGAGCCCCTTAAAAAAAACATATGTAGGGTCGGATCTTTTTAGCAAAGCACTGTTTACGCTCACTTAGCAGCAACCAGTTGGTAGATGTTCCCGCCAATATGCGGTTTGCATTGATAGTTTGAGAATTTGATCTTTGAGGGAGGTGAGATGTGGGCTCTGACTTACTAAACTGTCAAAGACCCAGATCGGTGGTTTGGTTTGGTCAAAGGTAACCATCCTGAAAGGAACCGGGCATCAGACCCCCGCGCCAATCCACACCAATTGAGGGGAAACTGAAAGATCAGCTTCCTTCCAAAAACTGGTGGTTTTGGATTGGTGGATTGGAGTTAGGGGTCGTTTCCCATTCACCCTCCACAAGAACCAGGGCTTGAGATCCCCAAACCACCAATCAAGACCACAAGTTGAGGGGTATCTGAGAAGGACATCGCCCATTTGCCTGTTTTCAACAAGAAGAGAAAGGCGAGGGGCTTAAACGAGCCCAGCTTGGCGAGCAAAACATAGGCAAAGGCGTCGATGCTGGTGAGGTCCAGGTCTTCGATCTCCTGCCTGTTGCGCGCTGAAGTGCCGTGTTTTCTGGGTGCAAAAGGTTTGGGAATCCTCGAACTGTGTCCATGCCCCAGTGATTCGTATAATCGTAGGCAACCAAGAGAACCAGCCTTAAAAAAAGAGGAAAACGGTTGGTTACCTACCATATAGTTAACTTGGATCCACTGGGTTCGCTTGAGTCCCCTCCTTGCCAAAAGTGTGGACGTCATGAGGAGTTTTGGGGACTACATTGGGCCAGGGGGCTCTGCGGCTCTGCGAGAAAAACATATATGTCCTGCTGGTTTCTCGGGGATGTAAAGGTCACACACTGCTTCGCACCCAGCTTCGCAAATGTCCCACAAGTGTTTTGAGCTTACCTTTATTGTTGTGCGTCTACGAGAGCAGGTCAGGGTTGCCCAAACTGCAGGGTGCTCAACAGTTGGACTCTGCAAAAACAACTGTCGCTGTTCCTCCAGAGTCCTCTTGGATCCAGTTGTCCATGAATCAGGTTCAGCGACCAGGCAGAAAAACGGGAAGCCTAGGGGTTGACAGTTCCTAGCGAAGCAACCAAGAATGGTTTAGAGGGTGAGGCTGCGGGTTGCTCAAACAAATCCGGGAATCTACAGCCCCTTTGGTTTCCAAGGCTCTTTTCCGGGAATTTCCCTGTGGTTAGGATTAAAAACAACGTAGCGCCAAAAGGCCGAGTCACCTACTAAGAAGGGGGGTGTGATGGGCCACCAGCATGTTTACACCACGTTGAGGGTACATCGACCACCCAGCATCCATTGGTAGCATTGGGCCAGCATCATATGTCCTTTTTCGTCCGCTGGCGAAAAAGCATATTTCCAATTGTGAGTTCGAATCCCTTGAAAAGCATGGCACAAAAAAAAACAATATCCATTTTAGCAAATGGACGTACACAGTCCAAAAGCTAAGGGAGTGATAGATTAGCCACACCTGGTTAGCCACAAACCGTTTCAACAATGAATAATACTTGTTTGTGTCTGTAAAAAAGACAAAACACAAGCAAACTACCCGAACTGTTGTCTACCACTAAAATGGTCCAAACCGAACAAACATAACCTCCAGGAACTCAGGAAGTGGATTGCCCAAGCAAAGGAATCGAACTGCTGTTTACCACTAAAATGGTCCAAACAAAAAATAATATCCAGGGACTCAGGAAGTGAGTAGAAACAGGGAACCCTTGCTTGGCTTGACTTTTGTTTAGTGAACCAACCCAAAACCAATGGAAGAAAGGGGTGGACGCCACATCTGATCCATTCCTGCTTTAAAACCGACAGGAGACAATCTAGAAGCAACAAAATAAGTCGTTTCAGCACACGGACAGAGATTGCCCGAGCTGCTGAAGCTGCACCTGCTCTGCCAGCGCTTGCAGCTCATCGTCGTTCAACTCGGCC